TATATATATATATATATATATATATATATATATATATATATATATATATATATATATATATATATAGTTATGAAGCACCATTTTAGAAATTTACTCTATTCGGTTTAATGTTTAGTCTTAAGATCCACGTTTCACTGATAGACTTACTCATATAATTTAAATTTGATAGACTCAATATTCTTTAAAAGCCTATAAATATAGCAAAAGTTAAAATATTGAGGTCATGTTTGATCTTTGGGTTTTGGGATGACTTTTATCTATTTTAACCATTTTTGATTGTTTTGACTGCTCAAGCAGCCAATAAGAGTGTTTATTGGTATTTGGCTATCGAGTTGATTGTTTGAGTATGAAAACGAAATTATGAAAAGATACGAGAAGTGGTCTTTCATTTTTGCTACTTGACAAAAAAATTATATATTTTTATTATTTATTTTTGTGTCTACTTTTTTTGAATAGAATAATTGTATCTTACTAGTAGAAAATAAGAGGTGATAAAACGACATTAAAACATCTGCTAGTAAAAAATAAGAGGTGATAAAACTATTATTTTATCAAATGGATAGTGAAAACAAGCAAACAATGTATTTAAAATTTGACAATGTAGATAGTAAACAAATAATTTAAATTAAGGAGGAGTACATAAATAAATAAAAATAAATAAGCCCTCCCCCATTTCATATTCATGGAGATATTTACGAGAAATAATAACTTGTGTGTGCATATGTGTGTGTGTAAAATACTCCCTCCGTCCCTCATAGATCTTCTCAATAGCCCTTTTTCTTTGTCCACAATAGATCTTCTCATTACATATTTTAACAATTAAAATACCACAACTACCCCCACTTACTTTATTTATTACACCTCACTCACCTCATTTAATACACTCCACCCATTTTTCATTAAGGGTATTATGGTAAACTTTCACCTTTTTCAACTCTTCTTAAAAACCACCAAAAGTCAAAATGAGAACATCTTAGGGGGACGGAGGGAGTAACATTTCTAATCGTTTCTCCAACCCTGCTAATAATAGGGGTCCCACTTCTTAAAATATCCTAAATATGTAGGTGGAAACACGGGACGAGATTAGATCTATCCTGATGGTTAAAAAAATAACATAATAAAAATGATGGATTGTGTGTGTGTGTGTATATATACACACACACACATGTGTGTGTGTAAGTATTACATCAAAAAATCTCAAACGAAAAATAATACTCCCTCCGTCCCCAATTTGATTACAAATTTCGGGTTACAGAGTAAAATTTTCTATTTTTTGAAATTATTTTATTTACAAATTGGTATATCAATAAGATATAAAAATTACATATTAAAAAACTACATCAAAAGTTCTACAAAATAAGAGGTGACAAGAATATTTTATTTTATCAAATACTTAATTAAATCGCATAAACAAACAAAAGTTATCGAGAGGAAAGAGAAAAAAAATTGTAATGTATTTAGGAACGGAGGGAGTATAATTATATTATTTTATCAAAGGGTAGATAAAACACACAAAATAAATTAGTGACTTTAAAAGAACACTTTAAAACTTTATTTGAGGAAAAAGGAACACGTATAACTACTAATACTCCATGTAAATAAATCTTACTCCCTTCATCCCAATTTAAATTACATGTTTTTGTTTACGATATTTGATTGAAACTATTTTCAAATCATTTTATATGAAAAATAGTGTAGAATTTAAAAAAATACATATCTAAAACTATATCAAAATATCTGCAAAACCAGTGGTGACATAATTATATTATTTTATCAAATAACTAACAAAAATAGAGAGAAAAAGTAAATGAAATTTAACTTTGTGAGTAAATAGACAATTTAATTTGAGAGAAATAAAATACGGAGTATTACATTGCAAAACCTATTACAGAGTATATCATATAATTATATGTGAAAAGGTTTTAAAGTTTAATTTACCTATAAAAATTTTCCAGAAATAATTTAGTTTGCAAAACATTTTTCATGAATAACTCAACCATTCAATACAACCAACTCATCTTGCCTTTAGACCTGGCCCACAATCATTTTTTAAACAAGGCTTAAATAAAGTTTGGCTCATTTATTTGGCATCTGCATTAGAGATCAGTAGTTTTTAACGTTAATAGTTTCAAGATTAATATATACAATTAAAATTTTATCCAGTACACTAATCGCTAAATAAAAAAGCCCTTCCCAAATAAAGACTTCGGGCCTGTTTGGGAATAGCGTTTGAGATTAGCGTTAGCATTTTGGATAAAATTTTAACGGTGTAAATTACTTTAAAAACGCTAAACGCTGCCCGTAAATAGCCTTTTGCTAATCGCTAATGTTATTCCCAAACATGCCCTTCATAAACATAACTAAAATAATCAACAAAAAATAGGCAACTCGTTCCATTAATCAAATTGGCCAACAAATACCACTATCAACCAGTAGTCATCTCAAATCATCTACTCTTAACTAAAACTTCAAATACGGTAAATATTAAATCAAATGGTAATTCATATCTAATCCATTGCACTAAACTCAAAACAATATTCTTAGAGATTCTTTTTCCCACTTTTTTTATACGTTGTAAATTCAAAATACAGAAGTAAACTACATTTAAAAAAAATTGAAATAAAAATATAAAGCTTAGTACATAACCCTAAAAATTGATGCAAAAACCAACTACAAAAAGAAGGAAAAATTGAACAATAAGTCAACCAAAGTATTTGACTTAATGCTAAGCCAAAATGCCGCATATTTAATTTCTTGAGCAATATACAGATCAAATTCACATTTTACACCGTCAAATCTCCAATTGCAACAGACTAGGCATAACCATTTTGAGATGAAAGATTAATGAATTACTGTATTTTGTTGAAGTTTTCAATGCACATCTTTGTCAAACACTACCCAAGCTTCAAAATCAAAGAAGATAAATGGAGCACAAAACTTTAGATTTGGGACCGAATGAATTAAGACTTCAGCTGTGATTAATCCCATTTCAAACGAAAGCTTCTACAATGAAGAGCTAAACTGAACTATAACTAGACAGCCCACAACACCCTACTTCCCCAATTTCCCATCAACTGTAATTACAGAGCCAATTGAAGAAGATTAAGAAGAAGAAAGGAAGACAATACTGATAAATTCCTTGCGAGAACATCAGAAGAACACCATGTCTAACCGCCAAAACCATACAGAGTCCTTCCCTGCCTCTTCAAAGCATAGACCACATCCATGGCGGTGACAGTCTTCCGGCGAGCGTGCTCCGTGTATGTGACCGCATCTCTGATCACATTCTCCAGAAAGATCTTCAGAACTCCACGCGTCTCTTCGTAAATCAGACCGGAAATGCGCTTCACTCCTCCCCTGCGAGCGAGCCTGCGGATCGCCGGCTTTGTGATGCCTTGAATGTTATCGCGGAGAACCTTCCTGTGACGCTTGGCTCCTCCCTTTCCCAGCCCCTTTCCTCCCTTTCCACGTCCGGACATTTTCGATCTTCACTTAAATCGAACCTCTGCAAATAAAAGACCTAAATTCAGAACTGATTCCGATTCCAAATTACAGAACTTCAAAAGTGCAAACATAGATTTGTTCATCGGATTATCATAGGATTAGATTCAATGAATGGATCTCTAATCAAATCGTCGAGGTGATTAGTAGAATCAGAAGGAGATCAAGAAATTAAGGACATTAGTTTACCTTGATTAAGAACCAGATGAGAGAAAGCTCGAAACGATGAAGGAGAAACGCGAGAGGATGAGGGAAATCAGAGGGGCGGTAAGGTATTTATAGGGGAGACGACGATGGGATCGATCCGCGTCAGTGGTGCGAAAGTGATTATGAACCGTTGATTAAAAGGATCGGAGGGTTGAGATAAGATCACAAGTGCCTCTCGGATCGTTGACGTGGCACTGTTACTCAGTTTGTGTTTCTTTTAAACGAATTTGGGTTTGAAATTTGAGTTAGGAGTACACCAAATGTGTACCCCATTTGTCCCCCACCCCATTTTTCACCATTCATTTTTATCTACTTTTTATTTATTTATTTTTTAAAAATTTTTTAGAATGTTCATATAGGTTGTTTTTACGTTCATAAATGGTCATTTGGTTGAGTTTTGTGTTTGACATGTTTGAAGAACCAAGAATCATAAACCTTGAATTTGATGTTAAAAATATGTTGTAATAATTCTAAAATGATCTATGAACCTTGGAGAACATTTCTATATAGTTTAATTGAAGTTTGGTAACTAAAATTGATATGTCCGAAAATGGACCGAAGGTAGAAGACGATGAACAGTGATCGAAAATCGATTATTTCCTTCCTAAAAATCGATTAAAACTTGTTCAGATAACGCATATCAAAATAAAAATAATAATAATCGATTATAGTAAAGTATAAAATCGATTTTTGTATTTAATCGATTAAACTGTATTATTAAATCGATTTTTTTTTCATTCAATCGATTAATATATGTTATAAAATCGATTTTTGTATATTTAATAGATTAATATATATTTAAAAAATCGATTTTTGTATTAATTTATGGAGTAAATCGATTTTTCCCCAATTCCAGTGTTCCGAAAATGTTCATGGAAATATTCTATGAAAATACCAATTAATTATGAACAATTTAAATATGATTTGTATAATAAATGATATTTTGGCATATAAAACATTATGTGATGCATGACGGTAAGTTTGGGTGTTAACACCGAGACTAGGTCGATGTTTGCTATTAAATATTATGTTGAATGATCATTATGATGAATAATTATTATGGATAAATATGAATGATAAACCTACTGATTAAAATGATTATTGATGATTAAGTCATGATTAAAAATGAATTAATGGTGATTATGAAAACAGTGTATATTGTTAAGGATATCTAGAAGAACTCTAAG